AAATGAGAAACAAAAGCTATCTTGAGATATTTTTTTAAAAAAAATTAATAATAACTATATGTAATATAATAAAAACCAAGTAATACAAAAACAAATTAAGTCAATATTTACTTAGGTCAACAAAGAAAAATTTTATTTTAGTTACTTTTTATTAAATAGTTACAATTAATATAAATATGTGTATACATATGACAGAATCACAATATTGTGACAAAATAGGTATCGATTTTCCTTGCAATTTTCCATTTCCTTTCTATGTAGGGTTTTGGACTATTTTTTGTTTGCTACTATTTATTCATTAAATAAATTTAATTATTCTAATAAAATAGTATAGTAAAAAAGAAATCACATTCGCAGAATTTAGGTCATCCCAGGTGGGATTAAAACCCACGACCTTTGGATTAGAATCCCGACGAGCGATCCATTGCGCTACAGGGACACAAGGAACGATTTTGCTATTTATACATACTGTTGGACTATTATTTTTGTTTATTACTAATTATTCATTTTTTAATTTAATGAATGAATTAATATTTGAAAAAACTGTATTAATATCAAATCTCATCCACTACTAGTTTAAAAAAATGTATTTGAAACTTGAATGGATGAATAAAAAGTATTTTATAAACGATTGAAAATTTGAATAAGATATATAAATAAATAAATAATATATATATATATATATAGAGAGAGAGAGAGAGAGAGAGTGAACTATATATAATAGTAGGAATTAAAAAATACAAATAATAGTTTCACATACTGATTCTTTATGTAATAAATATAATAAATGCTTTAATCCTAAAAATTGTTACAAAACAGAATTCTATGCTCCTTTTTGCTCAAACAGAATTGTTTATTTTTCGAAAACGTTCCAATGGAGGTATATATAAGAAGCTAAAACTTAATTTTTAATCACCAAATGAAGCATTTTAATACGTTTCGATTTACTTATAAAATCTTTAATAAAATAAACTACAAAAAAAAACAGTTTTACTTTTTGTTCAATTCTTCATTTAATTTTTTTCTCATATGTTTATTGAATAACATTTATATTTTAGAAACTTGAACAAAATAATTCAATTTTTTTAGTATAAATATCTATTTGTTTTAATTTATGTTTCAAGTTCAATATGACGTTATGTGTTTATATAAAAACCATAAGAAACTGAAATAATATAAAGATTTAATAATACCTTCATTGCATTAATATTGCATATTCTCTAAGAACATAATTTATCATAAACAGCATTAAAAATAAAGAATTCTTACATGCTCTACGTGAAAAATTGAGAGGATGCTCACTTTATACCTCTCTGAAAGCAAAATATTAGGAGCATGAAGAGAATATAAGTAGAAAAAATTCAATAACTTTCGATGATTTGAACTCCATTGTAAAAAAATAAATTTAGCACTCCCTATTTATAACAATATAAATCAATTTTTTATTTAAAATGTTGTTAAATTTATATAAATAACCATTTTTTGAAGGCCAAATTCAAAGATATATTCAAAATTCCAAACCGCGCACACTCACATGCTAGAAGCGAAAACGACGCAAGACCAAAACCTATTGTTATAATAACATTTCATTTAGCAAAATAGCATTTCATGGTTTATAAATTTATTTTAATTCGAAAATTATATTAAATAATATTATATATATATATGATACGGAAGAAACACATATTTCAAAGATGAAAATACTTAACAAAAAATATTGTCATATTTTCAAAACAGTAAGAATGGTAATTAGTAATACTTATTTTCTGATATTTAAAAGTTAGAAATTGCCCACTGCGTTAATTACTATATAATGATATTAGAGTTATTATATTCCCTATGCTATAAAAGGGTAGATGCAAAATATTCTTCAATAGCGCTAAATTTATGCTTACTTGAAATTATTATATTTGTTCAGATTAAAACAATTTGATTTTCTTAGTAAAAGAAATCACCAATATATAAAAATAACTTTTTATAAGAAAATTTTTACGCGGTTCCAGGAAACAGAATGTAATTTTTTATGGATTTTGATTTTAAAAATATATATTTCGGGTAATTCAATTCGCTTAATGAAATTGAATCTTCAGTCTCTATTTATTATTGACATCAGTAGTCCTTAGTTCTTTCTTTAACTCAATGTTGCCAATTTATTTAACGCATTTAAATTAGCTTAGATGTCACCATGATACATTTCAGGAAATTATAAATTCGAGGAATTCTCAGAGTAATTTAGAGTACTGTGAACATTAGTAACACGGTGAAAAAAATATGAAATCAATATGTACTGGGTTCATTAAGAGTAGAGAGAAAGCACATTTTCATTTTATTCGTGGTTCCATTTATGAATTTTCAATTGGTTTTCTGCTTACGTGAAACAAATTACCCACTTAAATAAAGTGATTACTGTATTTTAGTTCGTATTTTATTAAAATTTGAATTTTTGTTTAATTATTTATTTCAAGCAAGGATGTTTGTATTTTTAAAGGTTTTTCTCAATCATTTTGCTGTTTTCAGAATTGAGGTTTAATCTTTTCTTCCTTTGTGTTCTTTTAATTACAACGTAGTAGAATCTCTGTTTCAATTAAAGTCAGATGTAGCTAATTTTCTTTATTGTATTCATCAGGACATTTGCTAATATAGAATTGGTTATTTTTCTAAGAATGTAAGGTATAAATTTTTATCAAGTTTGAGAAATGAAACCGAGTTGTATCGATACTTAGTTTCTTAAAACTGATTTGTTCTTTTTTTCCAAACTTTATTGTTATCTGATTAATAGCAAGTAATAAAAAAAGTTTTAAGTCAATTCCTGCTTAGGTCGAAAAAGAAAAATTTTATTTTAGTTACTTTTTATTAAATGGTTACAATTAATATAAATATATGTATACATATGAGAGAATTACACTATTAAGTGACAAAATAGATGGTGATTTTCCTTGCAATTTTCCATTTTCCTTATTATATAGTAAGGTGACCAGTTTTTTAACAATGAAAAGGTGGACGAAAAATTTAAGAAAAAGTTACAACTGAAAAATGCGAAATATTTTATTAGTTCAAACAAAAATACGCTAATTACGCTTACATTCCTTTTAATTATTTACTTAAACAAGTATTATCTCATTGAATGATTTTTTTTTCACTTGTCCAAAGATCATTACCAACTGAAAAACTCTTTCAAATGCTGCATTAGTTCCAGTACAACACAACGTAAATTCATCAAGAATAACTGAATTATGATGTGGAATGTGTTCCTTTTTGAAATGGTTAAGTATTTTAACCCATATTTTATCAATTTCAGCATGTTGTAATTTTCCCCTTGCTTCAATTTATTACAACTTAAATATACATTCAGTCTTCTTATTTCTTCAAACAGACAATTGTCATCGATTTTATTATCAGGCATTTCTTTCCATAATAACTCAACACAGTTTTCTAAATCTACCCAATTTACTTGCGATGAAGTCAAAAAACACCAATGAAAACTGTTATTTCGTATGATGTTTGTTTCAGAATATTCTTCGACATATTTGAAACATGTTTGGTTCATCTCTGAATACAGAGATTAACATATCAATTTTAAAATATTGAAAAGGAGGACACTTTTCGAGGAAGGACAGAACCTATAAAAAGAGGACGGTTGGTCACCTTATATATAGGGTGTTGAACTATTTTTTTTTTCCTTTGTTACTATTTATTCATTCATTAAATTTAATTACTCCAATAAAATAGTATATTTAAAAAATATCACTTTCTCAGACATTTGACCATCCCCCGTGGGATTCGAACCCACGACCTTTGGATAAGAAGTCCAACGCGCTAACTTTTGCGCTTCAGGGACAAAAAGAACGCTTTTCCTTTCTATATATGCTGTTGGACTATTATTTTTGAGTGATATTTTTTATTCATTTTTTAATTTAATTAATGAATTATTATTTGAAAAATCTGTATTAACATCCAGTGTCATCCACTACTAGTTTTGAAAAATATATTTGAACTTGAATGGATGAATAGAAAGTATTTTATTTACGACTGAAAATTTGAACAAGATATATATATAGAGAGAGAGAGAGATTGAACTAACAGTAGAGGAATTAAAAAAGGGGTAAAAATCAAAACTATTTCAATTTATTGATATAGCATATGTATAATTTTGCGTTTTATGCAATAAATTAAGGCATAATCGCCTTATAAATATGACTTAATACTTACATAAATATGATTTAAGAGTATTTATACGTATTATACCGTTGATCAATTTTGTCAAATAAAAAAATGTCGCCAAATGCTGTCATTTTTATAAGTATTATGCTTGAATATGCAGGAGAATGCTTTTCGCTATTGGCCACCAATCCATGTCTTTTACATTTGACGACTTCTTTTGTATGACCAAATTAGTCAACAGTGTAATGCATAAGTACCGATATAAGTAACTGAGAAAAAATACAATATATGTAAAGAGTTCCCTAAATTTTTACAGGAGTATAATTTACACAAGCTTGGAAAACATTTATCAATAGAATCTATTATTGCTTACCCAAGCCTTCATTTTAAATACATATTTTATGACGATTCTTGATACTTTACGGTTAAGCCATTTCAAAAAATTGCAATTATTGCAATGAAGCATGTTTTTCAGCTATGTAGTAAAAGTTAGATAACATACAGAATACATTTTAAAAAAAAAAACATTTAAAACAGGGAAAAAATAATAATATAATTGCTGAAGAAATTTTTATCAATGTGTTTTATTTTTCAATTCCTACTACGAGTATTAGTTCACTCTCTCCCTATATATATTTATTTATTTATGTATATATATATCTTGTTCACATTTTCAATCGTTAATAAGATACTTTCTATTCATCCATTCAAGTTCAAATACATTTTTTAACTTGTAGTGGATGACACTTGACGTTAATACATTTTTTTCAAATATTAATTAATTAATTAATTAATAATCAGTATCAAATAAAAATTATAGTCCAACACTATATTTTTAAAGGAAAATCAGTCGCAGTGTCCCGGTAGCGCGTTGGACTTCTAATCCAAAGGTCGTGGGTTCGAATCCCACCTTGGGTGACCTAATTTCTGAGACTGTGATTTCTTTTTAGTATACTATTTTATTGTAATAATTAAATTTAATTAATGAATAAATAGAAACAAACTAAAAAAATAGCCCAACACCCTATATAAAAAGGAAAATGGTAAGGAAAATCGCTTTCTATTTTTTCACCTAACATTGTGATTCTGTCATATGTATATACATATTTATACTAATTGTAACTATTTAATAAAAAGTCCCGAAAATAATTTTTTTTTTTTTTTTTTTTTTTTTTTTTTTTTTGCTGACCTAAGTAGGAATTGACTTTTTAAAAAAATTTATATTACTTGTTAAAGTTATGACTGCATTTTTTTCCTTATTTCTGTTGTGTTCTGTGTTCATATGGCATTCATTCAATACTTTTGATGTAATACTTTTGGTTCTTCAATGTATTAGTAGTGAAAGAATACTTGTGTGCCATGAAGTTTATTATTATTATTATTTTTATTATTAATATTATTGTTGTTGTTGTTGTTTTGTCACATATAAAAATATAGAAGCTTCCCCTTGCGTTACATAAGTGTATTGTCATTTTTGTTCCTTTCTTCATCACGAATAGATAAATACATATCAGAGTCATTATCGTATTCATATCGTTCCGGCATAGTATCACTTTCGTTTAAATCTAACGACGATGCCATATTGGCAAGAAAAAGTAAAAAATAAATAACAAAAATAGTTATACAAACTTTAGAAAGTGAAACGAAACACAAACGAACGTGTTCCTTAGTCAGGGTCAAAAGGAAAAATTAAATGTGAGCATCGGAATGTCAAGGTCAGTTATCAGAAAGCGCAGTCTGGTACTCAAGGGGTTAAATCAGTGCCCCTCACACTTCCAGTATTTGCGACCCAATTCTCAATCATAGTTTCCATCGCCCTTCCCCAGTACAGTAACAATGCATTGAGTGCAATAATAATGTACTTTGACGTTAAAGCTACCATACAACTATAATTATAAACCACGCAAATTTTCAGGATAAGTATTAAATTTTGTTTACATTACTTTTAAGTAATAGATATTTTAAGAAATAAGATATATTTCCTTTCTAATTACATTTCCTTTCTAATTTTTAAATTGAAAAATTTTACAATAAAAGTGTAACGTGTATTTTTATTATGTCCAAACGTATTTTGTTTTACTTCCTTTTAGTAAATTAATATTTTTTTTCTAAAAATAATACTTTATTTTAGACTTTTTGATATGCTCGCGCCATCCTTGTAGTATTACCACGCCCCCTAGAGGGGTGCGCCTCACAGTTTGAGAAACGCTGGGTTAACTCTTTCGCGGGCACAAAGCTAAAATACACTTTTCTGTGATAAAGTAATTGATAAATGTAATGCAGTGTTTCTCAAAGTTTCAATATTCGCGACCCAATATTCAATCATAATTTTCCTCGCGCCCCCCTCATACAAAAACAATGCATTGAATTCAATAATACTATACTTTGACGCTAACACTACGATAAGACTTAAACCTGTAAAGTGTCACCGCGTAGATATACGTCTCGCTCAGCCAAAGCGTTAATTTCCCCGGACGTATATATGCGTCTTTCCGAAGTACCATCTTTTCTATGCACTGCTATCCATAAAATTATTCCGAAGGCTTTGGAATGCAATAAAAAAAACCTTGATAATGTTTGAGAACGATTTATTTATTTCAAATTATTATTATTATTTTGCTTCTTTTTCCTTCCCCCTCCCTCTAATACATCACATACTCGCGCCACGGAGAAAATGGTTAGTATTGGGAAGTGAATTGCATAACTTTTAATCGGCAGTTAAGGGATTAATTATAAACCGTACAAAATTATCAAGATAAGTATTAATTTTTGCGTATAATTTTATACATGACAATCCCATGTTAAATTAATTATAACATCCATTAAGTAGCACTGATACATAATGAGTGTAATATGTCAGTGTTAATGTGTATTTTATTTTTTATTGTATCAGAATGTATTTTGTTTGTTTACTTTCAGTAAATATATAACTTTTTTAAAATAATCTTTTGTTTTCGACTTTTTAATATGCTCGCGCTCCCCTCGTAGAGTTACCACCCTCCCCCCAAGATGGTGGTTTTGAGAAACGTCCCACAGTTTGAGAAACGCTGATGTAATGTTCTCATCCTCTATAAACATTATTTAGCCACAAAAAAAAAAAAAAAAATCTGATCAGGGGTTTTGTTCCTGGATGGTGGCTAGACGTTATAGCCATTGCGCACCTAAGACACTTTTCAGGACAGAAATAATGAATCATATTACAATAAACTTTTTGTGAAAAATAAGCATTTATGCTAATAACTATTTCAATAACAATTAAATACAAAGTACAAGTGTAATAAAATAATAATAGAATAATTGTACAACATAGAATACTTAGTAAAATATACGCTGAAATTGGTATATAACTACATTTTATATATGATTTAATTTTAATATAAAAAGTTAGAAATAACTTAATATTTTTGAGGATTTAAATTAGTTATTTCACAAATTTGATGTGCTGTTTACTGTGAAACTTTTCAAAGCAAGTAGGACCTTTTGCTTGAAGGCACAGTGGTACGCAAAGAAAAGCTATAATGAAAGATTTTCGAATTCAAGAATCTCAGACCACACATATTGTAAACAAAGTTTGTTTATATTTCCCACCCCCAATATTCTCACGTGATTCTAAGTGCTCTCTCTGGAGTGGAGGAAGAGTGAAAATTTCAGTCATTTTTCTGTTCTTTGTAATGTTGTTATCAATATTATGCAAAAATATATTTTGAATTAAAAATATTATTTTTAGACATGTTTAATTAAAATAGTGTTTTAATGTAGAACATACACTGGAAAACAACATATTAAAAAATTAGAGCCTTACAGGCATTGTAAGTTTATGTGTTATGCTTTTACAAACTTTAAAGGCGTTTTTTTTTTTCAGGTTTTCAATTTTGAAGGTATGTTTTTTAATCCGTAAGGCTTTTTTTTTTCTGTTCGAGATAGAGCCTTAAAATTTTTTGTATATACTCCCCAACGTATGTTTTATAAAAGTTAGTATGGATTTAGGGCTAAGATCTCTAGTTATTTTTTTTAAAAAAATGCTAAAATTGCTATTTTAAAAATGTTTGTGTTTTTTCCAGGTTTTTCCAGAAAAATAATCATTAAAAATCAACAAGGGAATAGTTTTTCAAATCCATTCTAACTTTTTATTGTAATAATCTAAGAAACATAAATAAATTAAAGTGACGAAAAAATTTTAAAAAGTGAGCATTTTTTAAAAGTTTGAAAAAACAAAAAATTCTTAATTTTTTTTTTAAATTGTAAAATAATGGCTGGTGAAACTGACTTTTGATTTTCATAATCAATTTAATAATATAATATGAATATAAAACATAAATTATCTTTACTTTTACTGTCTCCAAAAAATTTTTTGAAAAAGGTTACTGTGTAGCCTTGACAGATATTGTCGAAAAAGGTTCTTTTAATAATGCCATTTTAATATTTTTAGACCAAGAAAAGTAACAGACATAAGTATGAATCATGACTCTTCAATTATGTTGAAAAACGAATAAGTATAAACATAAATCGTTATTCTTCATTTTATTTCAATAATGCAACTAGTGTTACAATTTGTAGAATTTCCTTAAAAGCAAACTTTGTTATTTCATTGTCATTGTTGGAGTTGCGAGGCCTATTTCTTTTGACATTATTCCCGATATCCCATTTTCCTGCTGATATAATTTGTAATTCGATTAGTTTGAAAACACTTCTCTTGATTCGTACATTCTAACAAATCTTGCATTTTACGTTTCCTTATTTTGTCACTACACTTCTAAAATTTCTTTTGAAGCTTTCTAACTTAATTCAATTGTCTAGGTTTCGTCATAAGAGATAGAAATTCTCTTATGACGAAAATTGATTCAGATTTCGAAATAATCCAGAGTACTTAACTAATTGAAGTATGTTCTTCTCTACTTTTTAATTAAGAAGTCTTGAAATGCAACGGAGTTTTTGTTTCCTCTTCGGTAAAATATGCTGTTCTGAATCCAATCCATAAATTTTTTGACAGAGAATTTTCCTGTTTTAATATATATTGAAAATGTGCAGCCATAATGAATTCTTCCTAAAAGTTCCAAAAAATGTTACATTTAGAACAAATTTAAGAAAAAGAGAATATATTATATAATTTTTAATGACTTTAAAAAAAGTCGAGACCGAACAAAAGTGGTTTTTATAGGGAAAAAAAAGCTATAAAAATACATATCATTGAATATAAAGAGCACAAAATATTCAAACTGGGCAATTTTTCAATATTGGGATATCTTTTTATAGAAAAGGATAGTTTGCAAAAAGATCTTTATTTTGATTATATAATCATTTTTCTCATATAAGAAACTTTTTATTACAAAATATTCTTTGGTATTCAAATTTTCCTGAAAGTCATTATATTTTTATTGCACAGTAAAAAATAACGCATGAGTTTTTCAAATGTTGCGGATGTTAGTTATTTAAAAATTTTGTAAAGAAAAAAATATTTGGCAAGCTTTTCAGAAAAAAAAAATCTCTCAATCCAAGTATTTAAAGTTTTTACTATCAATTAATCATACAATTTGAATTCCAATCTGTTAACTTTTTTTGCTTAAATGTGAATCAAATTTTTATGAAAGAATTATTTTTAAAACTAAATCACACAGTACACACATATGCAAAGAACATATCCAAAGCAAGCTCAGAATATTAATTTCTCAAATTCTAATGAATTTTTAAAGTAATACATTTTATCAAGGGTTATATTATAGTTGGGTAATAATCATTGAGTTTTCCAAATTTGAAATTCTATACAAAGTTTTTATTTACCTATTATTTATTATAGTGGTGTCTTTGTCAAAACACCTTCTGGTAGCTTTATTATCAAGATTGAAAACGCAGACCATTGTTTGATTTTCCTTTCAGAACTAATTACAATTGAAGAGTGTATATCTGAAAGCTGCAAATTCTTGTA